TTCCACATCACTGCTTGAAATCCATTCAGGCAATATGATGGCCACCTGAGAAGCGCATCAACTGGGATTCTATGGCTGTGAGTTGGTTTTGAGAAACATAATGCCTTCCTCTCGGCAGAATTATCTGCTCAAAGATAAGTTTGCTATGGTGAATCTGTGCACCTCAGTCTTCTTTCTGGCTGATGTGTGACAGGAACCTGAGGCGGGGATGAAAGATAGAGTGCCCGGCAGTGTGTACATCAACACCAAAAAACTTAATCAAACTCTGTTTACCATGAAAAACTGCAGGAACTAATTGTGCAGTATCTGAAAGCACTGGACCTGAGTCATCTGCAAGCATCTTTCAAGGGTGGGTGTTCAGTATACCGTATACTCTGTTACACTTATTGCATATTTGCAAACAGAAGACAATAATTACAGCTGGTGACTGAACACAGCTGGTTTGTTGTTGGTGAAGAAGGCTTCTTTAGGTTCAGTCTCACAGCTCTCATCAATTTCATTCTCAGCTTCAGTGAGCAGCCGTTTTCAGCAACGAAGCTGAGATAAATTCACTCTACGCTAGATGTATAGCATGGCAGACAGACAAAGTTAGCAACTAGCTAACTTTGTCTAACTATAAGTCAAACATATGGCAGATAATGAGCCAGATATTAGGTCAGGAGTTGGTGGAGACCAAACCAGGGCTAAAAATAGGGTCAGTATTGATCAAGTGGACAGATGCACAATTCCAATGATGCTAACGGTGTCTGCTGGATTGTAGTAGACAATTGTTAACATCTTATTTTCTCTTCAAAATACAGAAGAAAGAAAATCAGTTAATGCAGCTTTAGTTAGCATACTGTATATTCTCAAAAAAGGTTGAGTCTTAAATAATACATGTGGAACATCTGTGCAGGAAGTGTTAAGTAGGAACAAAGGTATAGTGTTCAAAAAAGATTTGACAGGTTTGGACTATTTGTTTTACAGAATTTGTTCAAATGAATTTTAAAAATGTATAGACTCTAGCTTACATTTAAGTCTTGTTCCCCCTAACACTTCTCTTGTATGTCATTTTTGGCTAAGCCAATAAATCACCTCAACATTTGAGGGAGCGAAATTTCTTGTGTGCACAACAATTAGAAGTAGATAATGTCAACCCAAATGCTCCGATCACCAACTGAGCCTCTGAAATCAGATCAGGGCCCACCTGAGTTTCTGTGCAATAAACCGTGGCCCTCATGGGTGGGAGCTGGAGCTATGCTCTCCCTCCACGTGCTGTAATGACTTCAACTTAGAAGGTCCTCAACAGATGGTGACATTCAACACCCCAAAGGTTGTCCCACAGCTTAGGCCGGGAGTTTGAGATATTGTTTTTCATACGTAGGGCTAACACCTGTCAGAAATGGCAAATGAGACTGAAGAAGTTTATCTGCCAGTTGGGTGAAATATACTGACAGATGGGTGGGACAATTCAACTTGTTTCCAGTGTTTATTCAAGTATTTTTTTGTAGTATGTGTTCATTACATTACATTTTTTATACCGGGGCAGTAACCTGAAAAAAAAAAGAGAAAGAATGGCATGATATTGTTTCCATCTTATTTAAGTAAAATGTAAGACAATAAAAAGTTTTTAGGGGGCAACGGTTCCATAGCAGTGCTGGCAAAAGAAATGCTTACAGAAAGTATGTGAAAGAAACCAATCGGACATGTTGTTCAGGCAAATATAATTTTTAATAATTCTGACAAAAAGTAAACAACATGGTTTGAGAAAGACATGAGTGATGTATAGAGGAATGTTATTTAATCCACTGTTCACACTTCACCATGGAAGACCCTTGGCTGTCTTGTCAGTCTGTGTTCGCCTCCCAGGCATGTAGACTCCACCATCTGGCCTCTGTCACTTTAACCACCTCTGGGCCTCAAGGAATAAAGCAGACCCTTACAGCTTCCTTACCTGACACACAGGCTGTGCCTCTGCCATTAAAAAGTCATTTTTTTTCTGCATGTCGTGTTAAACCTTTATTGCAGTTTTGCAGAGCACTTTTTCACAAAGGGAGGATTTGCACTAATTGGAGGTGTGGGTAGAGAAAGAGACAAGACAATTAGTGTTGAAGAATCTTTTTTTTTTTTTTTCAAGTACTACATCCACAAGATGATGATTTCTCCAGCAGAGCAGATTTCTCCAACACCTTTACATTTGTGTCTAGCAGTATCTTTTGTGCATTTAAGTAGGTGAAAACAATGTGGATTGACAGTGAGCTAAGGTAAACAATGTGGACTCCTGAACATGAACCTAGCAACTCACAATGCAAAAACTTTCAAGCGTGATGAAATCTTTGCAACATCGATGCCCCCAGAGTTCTCGCAGTGTCGAACTGGGCATGTGACACTTCTGAGCGCGTTAGGAGCAATAGTCTGTGTGTTGGATTCATATTTCATGACAGCATAACCAAGAGGAGCCATATGGTAATCCAGACTGGACCTGCCTTAAAATTCCCCCCTAGCTAGAGGTGGTGGAGTGACCTAATGAAGCAGCAGACTGTGTGCTGCCTGGGGTCAGAATGGGAAAGGAGTTCAGATGGCTGTGGTCAGTGGCAGCAGCAGCAGCTAAGCCCTGTGACTTGAGCCCCCCAGGACAAACGGCATACTGGCCAGCCAACCACACAGGACAAGGCCCGATGTTCCCAATAGCAGCACTGTGCCAACAGGGATTGGGTAATCTACCAGACTTAGTCATAGCTCTGTGGGGTAGGTGTATACGTGTACGTCCACATTTCTGAGTGGGTTTGCATGTGTGTGTTCCTTTTTCCTTTTGTGGTTGAAACCCACTTACCATTAAAAGACCTCCGTCCCCTAATCTCATGTCTAATCTTAAACACATTTCTAATTCTAACCGTAACCTCTTTACGCTGATTGTCGCAAATTCGCATCGCACCGCTTCCAATCAGACTGCAGCCAGGATAGCGTATGTATTCCCCCAATGTCAGTTTGTGCATGTTCGATACGTACCTTGGAACCTTTTGCAAGCATCCATTTATGCCTCTTGTTGCTAATTTGCTACATTTAATTTAGCATCAGCTTGAGCAAAAACACAAATATTTTTTTGTTTTTATATAATTGTAAATATAATTGTAAATACATTCTGGCATCAAGGGGTTAAACCCAAACCAACATTAATCTTGAAAGAGTACACCAGCAATCTAGTATTGCACTCCCATAAAAGACAGATAAAGAAAAGGATGGTCAAAATTGAAGTAGCAGAGGCAGAGATTTAAAAAAGAGAATGAAAAACAGACGCCTACATTTCCCATAATGCATCCCAGGGCACCTTTTTGTTAGACCCTCATGACCCCGGTTTCCAAAGCAGGCTTTCAAGAAAGAAATGCCCTGATGACGGGGTGATTTCCTTTACTGCTTATATTCTTATGTTCACACAAGACCTTTTGCAACTGCATAGGTTGAGCAATAATCTCCAAGACCTGTAAACCAATGAAGTTAATTGAAATAAAAATAAAAACGAGGCTTTACAAAAAACGAACTAAAACTATACAGTTGGTTTGCAAAACTAACTAAAATAAACTAAAATGAAAGAGTAATTGTCCTTAGTTTTCGTTTATTTATTTATTTATAGGATATGAAGCCAGTGGAACTGACGTTGGGGGGTAGTTGGTCTGGCTGGACCGGCAGTTCAGCGGTGCGTGCGGTGAGCAGATAGACACATGGTGCTGAGCCGCGGGTGTGTTATGCTTTTGTCCTCCGCATGAAGAGCTGGCACACTGTGTGTCTGAGTGGCTGTCCTGCCACGATTGCTTTATCCGTCAAGAGAGCCCGGGGTCAGGGCGGCGTCTGGCTGCAGCGTAGCAGGTGGTGACCGCTGTTACGAGGAGAGCCCCTTGTAACCTTAGGGATAGGCTAACTTAGTCAGGGAGACCCAGGTAGGGATTGGCTGCATAGTTGGTGGGATTTGAACATGTTTTCTATTATCTTCATCCTGCATGTGGGATAAACTTACCCCTTACCCATTGATTGTGAGCTCCCCTTGCATTGGGTTAACATGTCTGCTCGTCATTACTGGTCATTATATTTACTACATTTCAGCTAGTTTGTGCTTTATGGTGTCACCGATATCTCAGCCAACCTGCCTCTTTGTGCTTGACATTGTTTTTATACTTTTTGATTAATAAAGGTTTAGATTTTAATATAACTGCTTTCCAGTTCTCTACTTTCCTTCAGGGTGCTAGGGACCTGTTAGTCTAGGCCCCCATTGGAGCCACAAATATCTTCCAATTTCTTAGCTGTTCATCAATTGTATTTCATCTCCATTTATTGTATTTCACCTATATAACCAAGAATGATAGATCTAGAGAATGATGTAATGAATTTCTTGGGACCACTGGGTAGTAGGATTAGCTCTTAGGGTTTTCAGTATGTAGGTTAGAAATTATACTGTAGATTGTGTAGACATGTGCTTCATTTATTTGTAGTATTTATTTAGACAATGTGTTGTACAGATGTACAAATATATATATACTTAGTGTTTGGGCCCCTATATATGTTGTGTTTTATGAAAAAACTAAACTGGACTGAACTGAGCTTGGCATCATGCAGCGACAAAGACTAAAACTAAAAACACTAAAACTAAAAAAAACTAAGCATTTTCAAAAACTAAACTAGCAAACCCATGTTAAAACAATATTAAAACTAAACTGAAATTGAAAACAAAAAGTTAAAACGAAATAAAAATAAAAAATAATAAAAAATCCAAAACTACCTTCCAGTAAACTGAAATTTTATGTGAAAAATGCTTTTCCTTGAAGGAAAACCATGACAATAGCCTAACCTCAGTTGTTTTCTATGCTAAAACACAAGTTCTACTGTAACTCTGAAAACACTTACTACTAGGATAAACTGTATCAAATATTTGTGACATGAAATTGCAACCATACTGTCAGACACAACATTAATATTAGATTCTGCCAAATCCCAGGTTACATTCAGTGACATATTGAATGACAAATCACAACGTTTTTGTTTTTTTATCACATGAATTATTCATACAATATCTGTGCAATTACAGTATAAAGTGCTTGGTTAAGGATAGGGACAGGTTGAAGCAAATTTACTGTAGATAAAGGAAACATGTTCATATGCTTTTTTTTCTTGTGCATCCTTTGACCACATAGAGAGCAATCACACCTTCACTGAGTTCAACTGAACTCTGTAGATATAGTTAGTGACGAGATGGACTCAGGCAAAACTGAAAATGTGGACCCACTGTCAAGTTTTCAGTCTGCTGTGTGTGAGCAATTTCCAATTAAGGAAGTGAACAGCAAGAAAACAAGTGACTGCAATGAAAACTTCGCCTTGAATGTGACAAAGGCAACACTGTATACAATGACATCATAATCAAAAAGTCCAGCCATTGCTATACGGTTAAATGTAGTGTTTGAGTTTTAAAAATTGTGTGCAAGGATTTAAAAATGTGACTGTTAGTACTTTTGTTTTTGTTTTTCAGCAGTATTTTATTAAGTCATTTTCATTTAATTGATTCAGTTAATTGAGGCTACATTCTTAATTCCTACCTTAACCCCAAGTTCAGGGACTTACCAAAACCTCTTACAGAGATGTAGAAAGGCAAAATGTCCTCACTATCAAGGATTTTTCTCATTTTTTCTCATTGAGGGGGCATTTGTACATAAAATAAAAGAACACAAAGGCATAACCTTGCACTGAATAATCATAAGACATTGTGTTGACACTTGCAGAAAATTGAAAAGATTTTTTAAGGCCACACTAGAGCCATCAATTTGTTTGGAAAGATGTCCAGTGACTGTAGGCCTCTTTGATTTGTCTGTCCTCTGGCTCAACTTGGCAGCCCAAGCAAAACTCATGAACTCTGTGCCCACACCCTACCCTGTCCCCTGTCATTCTCCTGATCCACGTCCTATTGGTAGATGCCAGAGGAGGACCATGAGGAGGGGTTGGCGAGACGGGGGAGTAGCCTTGGGCAATGTGGAGGCCCAAGTTGGCATCCTAAAGTAACCTTTTAAAATGCAAGCACGGTACTGAGAAGCAAGACCTCACAGGGACAGGTTTCAGGATGAGTCTTATCTATTCAGCAACAACACCTAAGTCTGCCAAAATACTGCACTAAGCAACGCAGTGGACCAGGGAAAGGTCATATACAGCCATATGCAAAACCCAGCTGTCTTTCTCCCTATACACATAGCTGCACCCTTGTGAAATACATGCAATATTAAACAACTCCGGAGTGAGAGAAATGCAATTTCAAGAGACGCATCTGATCGATTTTTTTAGTGAAATAACCCAGATCTTGTGAAGTGTTATTGCTTTCATATCATTTTGTGGATATATTCATAAACATCCCACTAACAGATAGTGGTATGCTCAGCAGAAATATGTGACGGATAAATGAATCCAACAGCAAGGACACTATCCCCGAGTTTACCCTCAAGTTGGCTACTATAAGGCACTGGATAAGGGACCCCTATACAGGCCTTAATATTCTTGATCATTTATCTGGTCGATATACAAACACCAGAAAATAACAAAATGTTTAATGCATTCAGTTGCCATGGGCAACATTCTTTTTGCTGTACTCTTTACTGATAAATATTCCATTACAGAGATAAGGCTGCTGTATTGAGAGCTACAACATACAAAGGAATCTATATGCAATTTATTTTGTTTTCCTTAGGTTTTTAGACCTCTGAGCTACCGCATACCGTTCACACAGCGCCTACCACACTTAAATAATTGTGTATATTATCATCAGTGTTTGTAAAAAGCAGCACGACAGGGACTTAAAACAGGTTGAATCACTTCACTTTGCACAGTTTATTTTTCAGATTACATGAAACATGCATTTTGATCTTGATGGGAGAAAACTGACTTTGAAAGGGAATGACAAGAGTGATAACACTTATCTGAGAAAGCAGGGCAATACCCAATACTCAAACGGATGTTCTACTATCTGTACAAAGCAGTATTCTTAAAAAAGGGTGGTCTCTGATGTTCAGGCTCCAGGCTTTGCACCTTGCAGTGTAATAGAATAAATGCCCATATCTTTGGACTGTAAAAAATGAGATTGGAACTGTGCAACTGTAATCCAAAGCGGAGGGAGGCTTTCAGTGTAATCAATCTCCAAAAAGGCTTTTAATGGAATCAATGGAGAGAAAGGGGATTGATTTCTGCACAGTATACTGCCGTTTTTAGATATTCACTCTGTCAAAACTCTCCTGCGTGGACTGAAAACTTCCATCCCGCGATATAGGTTAATTGCATATTGAGCAGAGCAGGCCATTTGTTAAGTGGCACACTTGTTCTTGGTGACCATTAAGTTACAGAAAGCTATATAGCACTGTGGAAATATAACACTGAGCTGTGATCTCAATCCTTAAAAAAGTTGGCCTCAATTGTATTCTTACCTCACATGGCCATTCCACAGTGCATTTCTCTGCTTTTGTACCTGTTGGAAACAACTATGATAGAAGTGTCTTACAAGAAAGTAAAACTGCTGTTGACATTACAGGCAGAATGCTGTTTTGTGCTTAGCAAATATTGGCCAGTTATGTTTAGGCAGTGTTAGGCGATTGTACAAAAAGCACAAGATTGAGGACACCCCTGTCCATGCACTTTTGGTCTGAGGCTGTTTCATGGTTAAGGCCCCTTAGTTCTAATTAAGTAAAATCTCAATGCTACAGCATACAATATTATTTTAGACAATAGTTTGCTTCTAACTTTGTGGCCATAGTTCATGTTTGACCCTTTCCCGTTTCAACATGACTGTGCACAAAGCCTGCCTCATAAAAAAAAAAATATTTACCCAGTTTTGTGAGAAAGAACTTGACTGGCACTGACCTCAACCCCATTCCTACACCTCTGGGATGAACTGGAATGCAGACTACGAGCTGGTCCTTAATGCCCAATATCAGTGGCCGATCTCACTAATGCTCTTGTGGTCACTGCAGCCCGGTGAATCAGTAGAGTGGATGCTGCTATAGCAGCAGATTAATGCCCATGGTTCCGAAATGAGATGTTCAACAATTGCAAATGGGTGTATATGAAATATTTACGGCAGTAAATAGGAAACTGCTGAGCAGAACAGCGCAACACACACACACACACACACAATCACTTGGTACCCAGCCAGAGCTAAAAGACTCTGCTGTTGGCATAGAAACAGTACATGGACAGTTAAGGTTAAAGGGTAATACCACTCTATCACAGCTTTGAAAAAATCCTTCCCTTGCTCTTTAAACAGTTATGACTTTACTAATGCACAAACGTTGTTATCTTCCATTTACACAGAAAAGACATTGTTTCTGACCTGTGATTTGGCTTGTCAAAATGTTTCACTATCTATAGGGACATGTTCATGCTTGACAAGAATCTGTGATGTGGAATTAATCTGTTTACCTCAAGTTAGTAATATGTAAACTTTTAGCAACATGATATGCTGTCACGTTGTCATCCTTAAAGGCCAGATTTTTATTGAAATGTTCTCCCTTCAATAACATTTACATAGTTTTATATGAAGATATTAAGAATAGAGATTTTATATTTTTATTCTTACCATTTATTTATAAATATACTGTACCAATTTTGATGTAACATGTAGAGACTTAAATTAGCAGCACACAATTCTCCCTGGATCGATTCTGTTAGATCAAGGTTGCTACATCTGCAGTCCAAATTGGGGAATCAGTAAATCATGCTATACAAAGCAACTGTAATTATATTTGTTGTTGTTTTTCTTTGCCAAGAACAGTGATCATTCACAATTACATTTTTACATCTCAATTTATTTCTTGTGATCAGAAATAAGTTCCAAGATTAAGATGTCTGTGAAGCTGACATAATAAAAGGTGAGTAAAACAAAAGCTACTGTATTTCACCGCAGTTAGGTGCACTGTGCGACTTTTCTGCAAATGGTGTCAACAGTGAAAAACATGAGCTTTAATGCCCGCAAATCATGTGACACGATGTCAGTAATCTGCAGACAGCAGGCAAATGTTTACCAACCCTGCCGGTCTGTGATCCCTTCATGCCAAAGGATGGCAAAGGGACTAGAGATGCAAACTGACCAGAGAGGCAAATTATCTAACACTGCTGAGTCCATCTTTCTGTGGACAGAGTGCTCAGTGATCTATAGGAGACAGTTCATATTTCACATGTGAGTGGAGAAGTGACCAAATGTGATACCCAAATTTCATTTGGAGAAAGCGGGGTGAATCCAAAGGCTAACTGTAAAAGCGTGAGTTTAAAATCGACAACGTGTGTATGGTTTTGTGACATGTTGACACTGCTGTCATGTTGGATTTATCACGTCAAGTTTTGCTTCTCTTTGCCCCGCCTCATTCTCCAACTCCTTTGTTCTCTGTCACTTAGCTGTGTAGGTGTTTGGCAGAAGGCATGACAAGTTGCGCGTCAAATCGAGCTGACAGATTGTTGACATCTTCACTCACAGTGTGCCTGGATTAAATGCTCTTGACAGGGACTGCTGCTTTATTTCTCGGGTGAGATCAAATGAATTATAAAACAGTTCTAGTTGCATGTCAGCTCCCGTGCCTGTATGACACACGACGGCCATGTCAGCCCCTGTCCTTTGTTGGCTGTAACATATTCTCTGTATGTCATCCATTGTGGTTGCCCATGTCCAATGTCAAGCTGCGACATCACAAGGGAGGACTGGGGACCGAAGCCTTTGAATACATACCCTGAAACAATATTTTTATTCATACACACAGGACAATGTTTGTTCATATTAATAAAACAATAAAAGGAATGTGGTTCACATAGATGCCTCTGAGTTGTTTGCTTTGGTTTGTGTGTTTTTTTATTTCTTGCATTTTCTCTGTATTTCTGCATTTTTTCCCACTCCTTTAGTTTAGGATTCCCTTGCAGTGATGTCCATATGGTGGAATGATTTTCTAAATTTTCAGGGTTTGTATATAAAGTGGATCACACTTCCTTCAAGCTCACCAAACACATTCCCTACCTGCTGAGCACAGACTTCTCATTGCTTTGATCATCAGAAGCCCGCCCCCCACCACCGCCACCACGCACACAAACATGCACACATGGGCTGGTGTGGTAGCTAGAAAAATATCCCAAAAGCATTTGTTTTGTTTAACCATTATACCTTGAGCAACTCAGCTTACAGCCGGGAACACATAGGATGCCTTTCTTTTAGCATGGCAGCACCCTTTCCCTTGCATTATTAATGTTTTGGACATGACAAGCACATCTTCTCCAAACTACAGTAAGTGGGTAATGTTTATAATAAACCTATTTAAAATTAAGTCCCACCCTGCTCCAGCAATGAAAAAATAACCGTTGAAATAAGTGCTATCTAGGCGAATCTCTTGGACCAGATGATGAAACCTTCTGCACTCTCCCAAACAGGACGTCATGGAGCACCGTCCTCACTTTTATACTTAATACTTTTCTGCAAAAGCAAGCAGAGAAACTTTCACTTCTGTGTTTATAATTTTAATATTATCTCCTGTGCTGCACTAAGCTAACTCTTGTTAAGTTTGTCAATTTTTTGTGTTACATGAGTGACATAATGCATCTTGTGCCCTTGCGTTTTCATCAAGCAGCGGAGAAGAAAATCAGTCCCAACTGGACAAAAACACTCAGACTAACACATATTTGGTTCTAATTTTAAGCCCAGGTGTAAAAGCACTTTATCAACTTTCTTAACCTCAGAAATGAGTCATATTTCTGCCAATATTTAAGAGATCTCCAGAGATGTCCAAACCTGTTAGGAGCTGCCAGGAGAGTGCTGTCAGACTGAGAAATGTGGGCACATTCTGTGGGAGAAGAGATGTTTTGGGAACACTCAATGAAAATCAGGTTATTAAAAAATGCCATTTTGACAAAAATGTAATAATTTTTGCAACTGACCTTGTGGGATGCAATTCCTCCATCAATAATAAAAACACACAGTGTTTCCGCAGAAACCGTCATCTTTGCGACCTTACAGTTTTTAGCAACAGACACAATGCAGCTTTGTGACAGTGGTGATTTCAATCTGTTAACCAACAGTAGTCATTGTCGCTACTACAACATATAAAATCCCCACCACTCCACCCACTTACTATAATAGATATTGCAAAACAATGTGGTTGGACAGAGCTAACTATGATAATTTCACAAATCTTTAATCCGACTATATGCTATTTATTTACTGGCATCATGTTATTTAGGGCTGGGTGGTATATCGGTATATGAGGTATACCGATATAATTTCAAAAGATATTAGAAATTAGACAATACCTATCACTGGTCTCACTAACTCCGTAGCTATCCAGCCAGCTAAACAGTCATCAATAAAGCCACAGGAGACACTATGCCGTTTGTTGAGTTTATCAATAAAGTTTGTGAAACTGAAACAGATACAACAACACATATCAGTAACAGCATTACAGTACAGTCAATAAAAGCTACCGCATATAGCTAAATAGCTAAATCAGTTGAGTGACCAGCATAAACAGCCATGAACTAGCTTCAGAAATGTCTACATGACAAATATAACAACAGACATGCGGTGTTAATGTATACAAACATCATTACTTACAGACATTGTGTTTAGCAAGACTTTTGAAGGAGGATGTGAGAGATGTTACTGCAGCACCAAAATATCTGAACGGACTCCCTTGTGCATGCTGAAAACAACTTCCGGGGTCACCCAGCACAACTACTTCCTGTATCACTAAAGCAACAACTTCCTACTTCAGAATAAAACACTTAGATATTTAAATGGCCAGTAGGAGGCAGTAAACCCATACATAAATCACTCTGAACATAAGAAAACAGTCCATAACAATACTGTTTATACCGATATTGTTTGATGTTGAGTTAATTAATGTTTCCGTAAAGTCCTGCAAGCGTTTACTCCTCTCTCTGTCTCTCACCGCTCATCCCCAACTCTCTCTCTTTGTCTGCACGCAGCCGTCTACTCATAAAGTCTCTAACAAGATGGAGGGAGACACATTGCTGGTCAACACTGTTAAAGACCTGGCTTGTAAAAGAAAAAAGACGGTTCATTCAGTGTTTCCCACACACACGCTTTACCTTGATGGGCCACCCAGGTTAGGCTACACATTGTAGCATTTCTCACGGAAGAGAAACACGGTGATTACGTTACAAGTCAACACGCCTCCTCAACATGCAGCTCAGCTGCTGCTCTGAACAGAATCACAGGAGGAAAAATCCAGAAGACAAGTATTTTTCGTTTTTTTAGGTTTTTTAGGTTTTTTAGGTTTATACAGCCTAGCCTATTACTGATGAAGAGAGTCACCGAAGCCGACATACAGGGAGAGAGAGACAGTAAAGCCCCTTTTCCACTGCACAGTACTAGCTCAACTCGCCTCTACTCTACTCACCTTTTTTTGGTTTGTTGTACTTGTACCTGCTATCTAGGTACCTCCGTCGTATCTGTCTTTACATTCTGAGTAATGTTGAAACGTTTTAACTTAAATCAAGAGAAAGCCGTTTGTGCGTTGCTGGTGTGTGTGTCGCATTGAACATTACATCATGGCAGTTGTGTGTGGTGTCGTTATGACGACTAGCTACATTGAGGGGTGCTATCCCCGGGTTCTACCTGCAATGGAAAATGGAGGACGGCCAAACCGAGTCGAGTCCAGCCGAGGCGAGTTGAGCTGGTACTGGTAATGGCGTGTTTGCAGTAGAGGTACGTTAGGTCTGTGACTGTGAAGAGAAAACAGTGAAATAAGAAACAAGTCAAGACATGCCCACCAAAACCACTGGGATATGACTTTTTGGCCATATTGCCCAGCTCTAATGTTATTGCATGTATAACCAGTTAATCAGTCATCTAGGGTATTTTCAGACACACATAAAGCCTACATGTACAAAAGTAGTGGCCATTTCTGCATTTAGAAGTTTCAACTTACAGTAGGTGTTGGAAAAGTCATAGTCCTACTCTAGGCTGACTGTTTTTAATCATATAATGCAGCACCATTTCTAGAAAAAGGGAGTCTGAGACGCTTGATAAATTTGGGCCCACCTGTTCCTGTTGATGCTTACGGGTGCATTTAAGCTGGACAATAAAAGCATGCTATCTAATCACTGATCCCCAAGCAGAGGGTCTCTCTGCATCAGTAATACAGCCCACTGTCCACTCCTCTATGCCAAGTAGAAAGTCAGACAAAACAGATTGGTATCATCTGACTTAGTGGCATCCTTATCATGATCCTCATGCTGTTGTTCCACTAATGCTTCGCTGTTCTCCATGCAGGGTCTCACCCGGGCTGTTTTCGCAGTGCTAATGTGTGTTCCTGGGGGTTTGGTTTACACAGATTTGGCCTCCAAACTGTGTCATTTCTCCACTCTTAATCTCAGAAACATGACTGCTATCTGATCCTTACCAAAAGCCACTTAGACAGACTTACACAGGGTCTGCTTTGGTTGGCAGACAACAGACGGCTGAGCATTTTTTGCAGTCAGCATGGAAAATAATAAAATCTGAGTAATTTTACAGCTCCGCTGCAGTGGTCAAAAAAAAATTGTCCATAATTACACAGTTCTATAGTATCAGGAATAATGGGAACGTGAATTAGAAATCTGGGTTTGTTCATTTAACATCTTTCCAATACACTGAAACAGAAATGGGGAATTCTTATTAATCAAAGTTACTGAAAACCCTGGAAATTGTAACATAATTAACAGAGATGATTCATCTACAGAATGTTCTCACATGGTCTATTGTTCACACACAATACAGGCATCAACATGCTGTGGCATATTTTTAGGTTCTTTTCTGTAAAGGTCAGCGGGTTAATGCTTTCATCAGTAGTTCACAAAAAGAGGCATTTCTTACAAACATACCTTCTGATAAAAAATTTTAAAAAATAGTTTTTTATATCCATATGTCAAAAAACCATAAGCATACAAAAGACATGGAGAGGAGGGATGATGATAACTCAGGATCGTGTGGCAGTGTGGAGTGAATGGAGCGTGGGAGGATCCCGCCTGTGTGTCCATGGTAAACACCCGGCTGCTCATGGCAGAATAGGGAAGCAGATGGGTCACAGAGAGAAACATATCAGTGTGTGGAGTGACATCCGGAGATCATTACATCCAATCAGAGCAGTGCAGGAAGTGCAGACCGATTGAGATTGACGGCACCAGACTGCTGCCTTACAGCTTTGAATAAATGAGGAGGAGAAAACAGGGCAACAAGAACAACAAAACCACAGTGTCCTCTCCATTTCGCACCCATAGAGAGAAAAATGCCCTCTCTGTTCTCATTTCACTGTGCAGCATTGTGTGTGTGTGTGTGTGTGTGTGTGTGTGTGTGTGTGCGGTACAAGCTTGTGTGCACATGCAATACAGTTTGTGTGTATGTGCAAGAAAGAAAGCAGAGAGAAAGCGAAATAGAGTTCTTAACTAATGGTTTCTATTTTCTCAGTGTTGTAGTATTAATCTATATATTAAGGGACTGATTTTGAATGGTTCTCAGACAGAGATGAGATAGAAATAAGTTTACAAGCTAAGAAAAATAAAATAGATCAAACAGAAACATCTTAGTAAAAAGAAAACAGTAACTTTTTTTTTTTTTCTGCAGTGTGGCAGTGAATATCTTATTTACTTTGTATTTTGCTTGGGCAAGAGCAAAAAAAGAACATTTTTTGTTTTTGCTTAATTACTATAGATTTTTGTCAATGTTTTGTTTACATTAACAATTTTCTTTAATGGATCCAGTGTTGACCAGGAGATGCCATAGTTTTGCTTATAGTCAGTTTACTAGAATAACATGTATTCACAGGTGCTACTGCTAACAGCAAGTATGGCATCAATGAGGTAAATACCTAGGGAAAGAAGTGAGAGTTAACGAATAGTGCAATCAATACAAGAGAATTGTTGGGGGATAGAAGAAGAGCACAGGAAGTGCATGTTATAGGTTAGAGGTGTTATAAGAGAAATTGTTCTCGGAAGAGATGAGTTTTCAAGAGCTTCTTGAAGTTAGAGAGGGACGCCTCTGCTCTGATGGCACGTGGTAGCTCATTCCATCATTGTGGTGTTACAGATAAGAACAGTCGGGACTGAGATTGCTTTGTGTGAAGGGATGGCAGAGCCAAGCAGCATTTGTTGGATAACCGAAGTGGCAGAGAAGGGATGTAAGCTTGTATCAGACCCAGTAGTCACTGTGCAGGACTCAACATTAAACTCTTTTGCAACTGGCCCCATCATTGTAAAAATTGTCTTCGGGCCAGTAAGTTTGAAACCCACTGGCCCGAAGACAATTTTTACTCTCCCTCCTTCCAAAAGTGTTTAATCGTTTATTAAATACATCCTGGATATAAAAAAAACTACACAAAAATGTAATCACAGTAAAAATTCTAAGCAAATAAAAAAGTCACCTCTATCCTGATGAACAGGTTGCCATGGTAGCGACCTGTCAATCACAAGGTAGTCCCCTCCGAAAGCATACGCTGCATTATCATCTATTTTTCCCTAAATAGGAACATAATATACTTAATGAACATCATGATGTGTTGAAGAAGACTTGAAACTAGCGACTGAGACTATAAACTCATTAAAAAGTGTTTACTGAGGTAGTAAGTCAGCTGAGAAGTTTTTTATCAGTAACATTTTATCATTATTTCTAATGGGACCGTTAGAGCGAATGCAGCTTTAAGTTCCATCTGCATGGTTTCACTTTTGACCCAGAGGTTGCCACATGATTGAGATTAGAGAAGTAACATTTCACAACCTCTCGTCACATAACTACAACTCTGGACTGGACATCGGTGCGCGCCAAGAGCTGCAAAACAACTGCAGGAAGTTTCATTTAAAAAAAAAATACTAATGTTGATCAGGCCAGTGAGTTGCTACCATCGGGCCACTGTTATTGTCGAGCCCTGCTGTGTATGCAAGCATTAGTGACTTGAATTTGATTCGGGAGGCCATGGGGAGCCAGTAGAGGTTGCTGGGTAAAGGAGTGACATGAGTCCTTTTGCGCTGATCAAAAACCAGAATCGCCGCTGTGTTCTGAATCATTTGTAGGGGTTTCAACGCACAAGCTTGGAAGCTTGGAGGGCATTGCAGTCGAGGCAAGAGATAACCATGATCTGTACCAGAAGCTGGGTGGCATACTGAGAAAAGTTGGGCCTGATTTTTCTTAAGTTGTGTCCAGCAAAGCGGCACAACCGAGAGACAGCAGCGACGTGGTCTGAAAAGAACATTTGGTCATCAATCATGAATCTCACCACCCTGGTTGGAGTGATGGTTGAGGAGCAAATTTGTAGTTTGATGTTATGGTGGATAGATTGCTTGGCTGGAATGACCAAGAGTTCAGTCTTAGCGAGGTTTAGTTGAAGGTGGCGAGCCTTCATCCATGCAGATATGATAGAGACAGTCCATGTCAGTTTTGTCTGACAAATCTGCAAAGGCAATATTACATGTACTGTCTGAAAAGAGTCACTTGAAGCAGAAATATGTTAGTTTTGTAAACTAGCTTCAGTTGACAGCTAAGAATTTGTTTACACATTGTTTACCACAGGATTTTAAGACACTATGCAAGTTTTGTACATTTTAAAGTCAAATGCATTAATTTGGTACAAAATTAAGACTATCTGTGAAGAACTTTGAAAAAAAAAATCTTTTTTACTTTTAATGGACACGTGTAA